GGAAGTCTCTCTTAGATGTTGGGAGGAGGCATCTTGCCTGTACCAGGCAATCCACCTGAGCTATTTCCACTCATTGCCAGGGGTATCTGTGAGGGAGTAGGGTCAAAAAAGTCAAGATAGTAGCTGTGATTGCATGCTTGCTGCTGCCATATTGACTTTTTTGACTTATTCCAGACGTAAGGATGTGTACAGTGATCACTTTTAATAAAGTGTCAATATATGCAATTACTGTAAAGGACTTTCATTTACTTTCACCAAATGTCTTGTGCAGTAAATACATAACTTTTTTGACCTGCTTCTGTAGATTCCCAGTCCATTGCTTAGCTTTGATTGTGCCTCTGCAGTGTAGCATTCCCCTTGGCAGAGAAAGCCTCCAGATCTTCTTTTATCCCATTTTTAGATGGGCTCTGAAAAACTCCACCACCGATCCTTTTTTTATGCTAGGACATGGATGGGGAATTTATAGCCTTCCATATGGCATTAAACCTAACATTAGCTATACTGCTTCAGGCTGCTGTAGAAAGGTGTTCCATGCTGTTCTATAAAGCCCTCCCTTGTTTTGATTATTTGATAGAAACGTCCAGCATTGTCTGGCATCAGTGAAATCTAAGCAAGGTCAGCCTGATTAGTAGAATCATGGAGTTGGAAAGCGCTACAGAAGTCATCTAGTCCAACCCTCTTCTCAGTGCTGGGTCCACTAGAACAGTGTTTTTCAACCTCAGCAGCTTTAAGCTGTGTGGACTTCAACTCCCAGCTGGCTGGGGAATTCTGGGAGTTGAAGTCCACACAGCTTAAAGCTGCTGAGGTTGAGAAACACTGCACTAGAGCATCTTTGACAGTTGACCATCCAACTTCTGTTTGAAGACCTCAGGTGAAGGAAAGCATGCCACTTCATGGGGCAACCTCTTCCATTTGCTGAGAGTGCATACAATCAGATCATTTCTCCTGAAGTCTAGGCTGAACCTCCTTCCTTGTAATTTTAACTCACTGCTTTTGGTCCTGACTCTGGGGGAGTAGAGAATGTCCCCTCCTCTTTAATTCTGGTCTGTGACCATAATAAAAATTCTATTCTATTCCCTTCATCTTTTGAGTGACAACTTTTCAAATGTTTGAAGATTGCTGTCATTTTTTTCTGACTAAACATACTCCAGTCCTTTAACCGTCCCTCATAGAGTTTGGTCTCCAGAACCTTCACCATCTTGGTAGTTCTCCTTTGAACTTCCTCCAGTTCACCACTGTTCTCTCTGAAAACTGGTGCCCATAACTGGACACAGCAGTCAAAATGGATCTGACCAGGAAAGAATAAAGTGGAACCATTATATCCCATAATCAAGGCTCTTTGCTCCTCTAAGATAGCATTTGCCTTTTTTAGCAGCTGCATCACTCTGCTGGTTCATAATTAAGTACTCATGTTAGTACTTGGATGGGAGACTACCAAGAATTGCAGGGCAGTACCGGGAAGTTGAAAAAAAATCCCCCAAAAAGGCACTGTCATGGATGTGTCCATAAAGTCATCAGGAGTTGGACTTTGCTTGAAAGAGACCTTATGTTGACCTCTTTTTTCTGACTGCAATTTTCATGCAGTTTTATTGTTATCCTCCTTGGCTTACCAACACTTTGGGGAAAGGATCGATTGATCGATCAGGATAGAAATGTTTGAGGAGGATTGTGCTCAGTGGTCGCAGAATGGTCATGAACTGTTTTGTCATTTTAGATTGCAGGACATGGGATAGTCGATTTAAATCAGATTCCAGCTGAATATTTCTAATGATAGGAGCAATGTGATTACGGTTCATCTTCTCTGGTCACATTCAAGCAGAGGGTGAATAAATATATGTCAGGGTTTGCTAATGTGGATTTCTGCATTGAGCAGAGGGGCGGACTCTGTCACCTTAATGGCCTTGTCCAAGGCTGTAATTTGTGATGAAGGCAGCACTGAAGTATCTTTAGAGGGCTTTTTGAAATAGGTAGGCCACATTGGCTGATTCATCCATCATCCTGAATGATCCATTTTGCTCCTGAGGGCTCTTCCTCCTGGCTGCATTAATGTACTTTCCTCTAGTTCTTGAGTTGACAGAAAAAATATGCTGGCCTAATTTGCATTGCTCCAACAACTGAGCTTTAATCCACTGTTTCTCAACCTTAGCAACTTTAAGATGAGTGGACTGGCTGGGGAATTCTGGGAGTTGGATGAGTTGAAGTCCACTCATCTTAAAGTTGCTAAGGTTGAGAAACACTGCTCTAATCTGTCTCAGTAATAAGGCTGATGATGGTTCTGTCCTTACAGCTTTGCCATAGGACAGCTGTTGGTGACTCCCCTGGTTCATTTCCTCTCTCACCCAGCATCAACAGCTGGTGGGGGAAAAAACGCCACCAGTTGCTCTCTTGAGCATCTGGAGGGGCAGGTCTGCACTGAGTGAGTGGGAGAGAGGCTTAGCTACCTTTCAAGTTGCCCAAGTGACAGGTTGCTGGCACGGAGGTGCTCTGTATTCATAATTGGTCCCTCAGGCTATTTCTGAACATGGGTCTACTGGTCTTCTGAAAGACTGGTAAACCTGTGTCCAAAAATAACCCAGGTCAGTGAAGCTGAGGAAGGTGAAGTGGGAGAGAGCTTCTGGGGTGGTGGAGGTTTTGTAAGGAGCATCGGGATGATCCCTTCCACCTTACCCCATGCCCCTCAACTGTACCTCTGATCTGGAAATTGGCAGAACTCTTGTCAGTTTGATGCCAGCTCCCAAATACTGCGAATCAGCAAATGTTGCAATGGAATAATACTGCTGGGAGGGAGGGAGTGTGGCCAGCAGCACCCAGAAGTATCCTATAGAGTACACAAAATGATGTTGGGGTAGGCAAATTGGCACCACTGATCCCCAATAATAAAAACAGTACAAAGCACAGCTATTCAAAAGTTGCAGAAGCAGCAGAAAACCTGTAATGCCCTCATTTGGGACACAACCAGCAATACACAGGAGGCAGAACCTAGTTCTCTTTCCCAATTTAAATCACCTTTCTATACAGAGAGTGCGAGTCCTGTTTTTTAAACACACGCCTGCTGCTCTTTCAAAGACCACTAAGCACATGTTTAAAACCATGACAGTGTTCTTCCAGAAGAACACTAGACCCATTCACATAAGGAGCTCATGTCATGTCTGAATGGCACTTTGCAGAGTTGACCAACTGGACGGAAGGTGGCCGGTGGGAGCTCCATATCCCAACCCCTGGTTGTACCATCGCCAGCACTAAGACTGAGTCATTGTTGATGTTCATGTGGCAAGATTTGTGCTGGAAGAAGAACAAGAAAGGCAGTACTTTTAAACCAGAACAGCTCAAGTTGAATGAAATCTGCCTTTGGGGTGGGCTGGGGATGAGATGAAGATTGCATCATGAGGAGTTGCCCTCTAAAAACAGTTACCAGGGTCTCTTCGTGCCATGGTTAATGGGACATGAGGATGAGCTCCAGCCTCACTTCCTTTGCCCCCTTGGTGTTTTTCAGCCAGTTCTCCCTTTGATTGGATGGACTGAGCATTAAGTGTCCAGTTCAACATACAAAGAGGCCAAGCATTGCCATTCATTGTGCATCTTACGTAGCTAAATGTTTCTAGGAAGACTGTAAGCCCCTCTTGACCCCATGTTGAAGACATTCTGTACAGTAGATTCTTTCCCCCATAGATGGTTCCACCGTATAGTCTAGCACAGTGATGGCGAACCTTTTGGGCTCAGCATGTCAAAAATTCGGAAAACGCTTAACTTGACTCTGCTGGTGTGTCATTCTCCCCACACACACAAAAGAGAAACAATTCTTTACATATTCATTTATTTTAAAAAAATAAAGTCCAATCATATGTGGTGCTATGTATTATATAAAGAAATGTCAAATAATTACAAAAATGAAATACGAGTAATATAAGCTCAGTTTCTTTGGTAACTCAGACAGGGAGAATGGTTGCTGTCAGGTGTTGGTGAACGCTGAGGTGTCACCCAAAACAACATGGCATGTCACCTTTGACACATGTCATAGGTTCGCCATCACTGGTCGAGCAACTCTGGAAATTATCTTAATTGCTGGAGGCTCAGTAGAATGGAGCAATTTCATGCTATATTTTTTTCAGGGACCTGACATCTGAAAAATTACATGCAATCAATGGGAAATCTATGCAGTTTAGGGGAGACATCTTTATTTACACCAGGTTAAGGATGATGGTGATTGAGCCTGGAGCCCCAAAATGTTGCTTCTGCACTGGATTTTTATTAAAGTTTTAATCTGAAGACAAATCCAGGCCTATGGAGTCAACAGACCAACAGTCCAGCGAACTCAGATTCTATAAACATCCCTAGAAATGTCTTCTTAAAGACACTGAGTTATTTAATGCCTCCGGTGAGTAATCACAACAGGCTTGTTATCCCATCAACTTGGCATACAGTATAGAGAAGCTTAAATTCTGGAAACTTTCTCACTTTCCTTTTTTTTTTAAATTAACAATTGGCTCTAGTGTGTTCTGGGGGAAAGCTGGTTCTTCCTTCAAAACTATTACTTTCTGCCTGAGCACAGAAGACATTTGAATGAACAGCACTTGTGCCAATGCACTTGTGTGGTGGATTTACTTGTTTTCTAGAAATAAGAGACAGCATCATTGCTTCACTTGATCTTGAGTTCTTTGGCATACCTTGTTTAAAGAAGCTGCCGGAAATAGGCATTATTGGTCAAGACCACTTAATTTTAGTGGATTTCTTTTATATCAAGACATCTAAGAAGATTGGTGTAAGGTCCTTGCTTAATTAAATCATCATTTAAAATAAGGACCAAATATTCTTAAATTCCCCCTCCCCAAAGTACATTTTGTCCCTTCTTTTGACCACCTTTCCCAAAGCTCCCAATCAGGAGAACATTGTAGGGGAAGCATGCTGCCTCTTACACCTAACATTTTGCTTTTTCCCTTGGGGAACTAGTATTTAATTCTTGCTCCCCCCCCTTTCTTGCCCCCTCCTCTCTCGGACTGCAGGAAAAGAGAAAGCGCCAAACGGAGATTGAAAACAAGCGGCGACAGTTAGAAGATGACAGACGCCAGTTGCAGCACTTAAAGGTATTTATGAGATTTCCAAATCCCATCTGCCCAAGAACCTCAGAGGACTTTTGTGTGCTTGGCAGGGGTCATCCTTCAAGAGTAGGTGGGGACAGGAGTTAAATTTAAGGGGGGAAGTGGGTGGCTAAGTCGCCTAATTTGCTCTTTTGAAAAAAGGAATGCCAAAAAATCCAAATAAACCAGACAAATGTTTGGGCTATAGCCATGCTGGGGAACTTTGGAAGAAGGAAAAGTGTGCTGGTGGGCCACAGCATTAGTATAAATACATAGGGAACCATTTCCCAAACCGAATAAAGGGTGTCCTCTGCAACCAGTGGAGGAAAAGCAGAAAAATCCAGTTGATTAGGTATCATCAAGTTGGTGTTGACTTTTAGTGATTGCTTAGACCAGTGTTTCTCAACCTTGGGAACTTTAAGACATGTGGACTTCAACTCCCAGAATTC